CTCTCTTAAAAAAAAACAAAAACAAAAAGGGGTGCTAAATAATAAAGAAAGAGCATGGGAACAGGTTGACTTACCGAAGCTAAGCACATGTACACAAGACAACAGGACTGTATTGCAAAAACACAGAAAAAGACACACGTGGTCAGACTGGGGGTGGATACGGTGAATGGAAGCAATAAGGGAACAAGGACAGAGCGGCGGTGGGCTCGGGTTATGAACTGAGCAGTGTCATCAGCTCGCTCCAAGTGGGGGCCAGAACAGTTCCTAGGCTCCCTGCACGTGCGGTCTTGCACAGGCTGTGTGGCAGGGAGTGGGGTGCTCAGCGAGGGCTGGAAGAAACCACCATGTTTCAGGAATCGAGGCTGGAGAGAGGAGGGAAGCTGGTCAGCCTTGGAGGTGTGCAAAGCTCCTCCAGCTCTGAGGCTCCGAGGACATGTGGCCTTCAGTGAGGCTGCCAAGTGTGTGTGCGAGGTGGGACACACCTTCCTACTCAGAAGATGCTGTCGGAGCTGAGCCAGTCTGCGGGAAGACATCCTCACGTCTGTCTGGAAGGTTTTCTGGCCATTTGCAAGCACGCAGGGGGTGGCTGGCCAGTCGGACTGACATGTTTTCAGGGCAGCTCTGCCTGGTCTCCCTGCCCAGGGGCTCATGACACAACACTCCCCAAGGTGAAGCCCGTGCGGTGCGGACAGTCTACAAAGCTGCTGTGTCTGGGAGGCCCTTCGGGAGTGGATCACATAAGCCAATAGCTAAGCAGAGACGGTTGCTGGCACAGCATTGGTGGGTGAATGAGTAAGCCACGGCTGGGGCTCCTGGAAGGCAGCTGCTTCTCTCTGGATTTCAGACACCCCTCCACAGCTTGTCTGCATCCCTCACTTTGCCTGAATGGAGTGTAGGGAGGTATTCACAGGAAATTTGAATGAGTGTGAGTTTAGAGTCATAAATGCCAAGTAGGTGAGTGATGAGCTGAGATCTGAGGGTCTGCATGTGATCTGGAGTCCCTGCTCCATGTGCGTGAGCCCCAGAGGGTGCGTGTTAAACGTCTGTTGTGCCAAACAGCTGGGAGCGTGGATGCTGCTCAGAGATCCAGTCCAATCACTTGCTCCCATTTCTTGGAGGCAAAAGCTGAGGCCCAGAGAGGGAAAGGATTTATCCAAGGGCTTCCAACTGGTTACCTGTGAGGATCGCCTTCGACTTCCTGGACACACCAGGCATTTACAGAGTGGTATGAACAACGAAAACCTGGACAGCCTCCAGGCAAGCACCTGGGCAGTCCTGGGCTCAGGGCGATGCTACCAGCATGTTTAATGCGCCCTAAATGACTCTAACTTATTACATAGTGTAGCTTAATAACGATCGGAATTCCCCTGCATCTATGTATTGGTTCCCGACTTAACCAAGTCTTTCCACGTCTCTTCCTCCTACCGAACTCCTTTCAGGGAGCGCTTAATACCTGAGTGTAGAAATAGGGAAA